GTACGTAAATAACTGATTCAATTAAATTTTCAATTCATTAACAAACGGTAAAGCCTTGACTCACCACTGTGAAATTATATTCCCGAGTGCGATGGCATTCTTGTCCACCAGAGGGTTTGGACCCGGGTGCACTTTTGTTTATTAGGGCTTGGGTCTGATGGGCCTCTTACAGTACTTCTGCCATTTACTCAACCAAAGAGATGTTGGTTCTTATGTTTGCGAATCAAATGATTTTGTTGTTCTCTGTTCCCTTTGCCCGCACAGAATGGGAAAATAACTTTTGTATATTGTTAGACCCGGCTCTAGGCCGTAACATAACAGAAGGGAAGAGACACCGGCTATGTTCAGGAACCCCCGCGTACGGGCATTCTATTGCATTCTAAATTCTCTGAATCAGTATCCTATTTTATTGCCAGTAAGTAACAGGATGTCACAGACTGGAATTGCTTGGCTCAGTGCAAACATTCATAGAGAAAATAATAAAAAACTAAAACTTAAAGAATAAAAAACACTTCTAAGGAATACATTTACATTAGAATAGAGTTAACGTTACTATTTACAATATACAAGTGCACTAGGTGCACCAATGTAGGTGACAGCAGTACAGTGAAGTAAGTGGTATGATGCGGCAGTAAAGTGACTTTTATAAAGGGCGGGGGACAGGTTAAGAGTGTTCAAGAGTCCAACAAGCATGAGGGGAGAACTGTTCTTGTGGACGGGGAGGTTATAGTCATGATGGACCGCCAGTCTTGCCAAAGGGGAGTGGTTGGAATAGTCCAGTGCAGGGTGAGGAGGGTCGGGGGCCTGTGATACGACGCCGGACTTCGAGTCGGCGGCCACGTATCAGGTTCCTGCAGCGATGGAATGCTTCGGCCAATCACTTCCTCTGCAGAGCCGACAATGCGCTGTAGTCTTGTTTGTCCCTGACTGTGGATCCAGAGAAACCACACCCGGGACGGAGGAGGTGAGGTTGGACTCGATGATGGCCGTGTAGAACTGCTCCAAACATCTGGCAGGCAGCTGGCTTTCTGAGGCTGCTGCAGGAAGTACATCCTCTGCTGGGCCTTTCTTGCTGAGGGAGTGATGGTCATGCTCCCACTTGAGGTCCTGGTGAATGGTGGGGCCCAGGAAACGGAAGGGAGAGTCCATCAGGAAGGGGGGGCTGGGGACAGTGCTCAGCCTGAGTCACACAATCATCTCCACTGTCTTCCTGGGCGTTCAGCTCCAGGTTGTTACCACTGCACCAGGACACCAGCCGGTCCACCTCCCTCCTGTAGCGGAACTCATCGTTATTGGAGATGAGGCAATGAGGGAGGTGTCATCCACTGGAACTTGAAGCAGTCACAGAGTCGCTGGCTGGAGGTGCAGTGGGTGTGTACTGGGAAAAGAGCAGGGGAGGAAAGCACACAGCCCTGTGGGGCTCTCTGTATTTATAGATCGAGAGTCGAGACATTCAATCCTTGACGCACTCGCTGATTCCTGTCTGTCAGGAAGTCAGTGATCCCCCTCGAGTGAACCGGGCACGTTGAGCTGGGAGAGCTTGGCCTGGAGCAGGGATGGCAGGTATCGTGTTGAGAGGCAGAGACCCGATTTAAGTCCACGAACAGGACCTGGCGTCGGTCCCCGGGGAGGGCCAAGGCTGTAGGATGTGGTGGGGCCAGGGTGATGAGATGTTCCAGATCTGTTGCTCTGTAGGCGAATGAAGGGGTCCAGGAGGGGTGGAGGTGAGGGACTTGAGATGGGAGATGACCCCAGGCGTTCCAAATGACTTATGACGACAGAAGTATGTGCTAACAGTCTGTAGTCAGTTGAGTCTGTGATCCTGGGGCTTTTCTGGGCACGGGGGCAATGATTGAGGTGTGAGTGAAAGCAGGCCGGGGGACATGGCAGGAATGCAGAGAGGGAGTTGAAAATGTCAGTGAACACAGGAGTTAGCTCACTCGCGCAGTGTCTCAGAGGTGTGTAGCTGGAGACCCTTGGTCCGGGCAGGAGCTTTGCGGGGGGTGCAGCCTCAGAGGGAGTTTGTTTACTATCTCTGTGCCCCCGGGGACTTGGCTGCTTTCAGTTCGTCCCTGAACGGATATTTAGCTGCTTTGTAGCGCTGCGGGCCCCCTCCTGAAAGCCGAAAGGACATGGCATCCATCCACCTTCCAGGGACCTTAAAGACGTCTATTTCCGCCAGGGTCATAGGCTCTCCACCGTGCTGTCCCGGTGTGGGCCTTAGCACGGGTGGGTGGTGAGGATCCCCCCCCATTCCTCTGCAGTGTTATTCCTGCATGCTGGACAAGCCACCTGATAAGTGATAGGCAAGGAGGGAAGAAGGGAAGAACGCCCTACGCAATGGATGCGCATACGATTTATCTGGAACTAGAAATGGACATGAAAATGTTCCAAAAAGTTGACATGACACAACTGTGTCCTCTTCCTGCGCATCGGCATCAAGCTCAATAGTTTTGTTCAGATGTTTTTTAAGAACACGTACCCGTAATATTGTGCTGGTAATGTTGATGTTATAATTGGACATAAGCCATCACTTGATCACCAGGCTTGAAAGGAGTGGAGCTCAGGACAACTGCCCAATGGCGACTCAATTTGGCTTTGGTTACACCCAGTTTCCCCTGCATAAAGGCACGTTGCCTAAACCCGTTACCGTGATCCAAACGATTTTTTCAGGGGGGCGGTTCAGACTCTTTAAACTCAGCAGCACTAGCTTGCTTGACAACACCTGGTACTTCAAGTGACCTCCCACGCAGCAACATCAACCAAGGCAGACCTCCTTCCCAGCCCTTACCTATCTCTATACAGTAAGTATAGAGATCGTAACTCGCTTGGGAGGGCTTTTCAATAAGTTATTTCACGACTAAGAAACAAATGAGAGTTCAAGTTTGTCCCCGTCCAACTGAACACTTCGGTCTCCCAAACCGGAGATGAAATGTGACAATTCCTGCACACGATGTTGCTGTAACAGAAAGCAAAGGATACACAACAGGTAGGGCACTTGCTTTGACAACAGTCAGTAATCTGTAATTGTATGTGACTTTTATTTAGGACTCCTTGAAAAAGAGGTCCATAATCTCAATGGGACTTTCCCCCCCCCCCCCTTTCCCCCCCTCCCCCCTCCCCCCCCCCCCCCTTCCCTCCCCCCCCTGGTTAAATAAAGTAAAAAAAATAATAATATATAGTATACTATATATATATATATATTATATTATTAGGGCTGTCCAAACTTATCGCGTATTCAACGTTAATTACCGTTTTCATTAACGCGTAAAAAAATAATTAACGAAGTTAACTGCCATTGACCGTGTCTCAACTCTTGTTTTATTGGTTGTACCAAAAAGTTAGAGGTTGTGAGAAGTCAAACAGCCTTATTGCAGTGGCTCGGGTAGACTTGCGTCACAGAAAACTAGGGGAACTCTGAGCCAATGGAGCGTCCAGGACAATTCTAATGTAGTGACACGGAAAACCATAGAGAGGGCGCCTCACCGGACGGTTTAGGCTAAAAGTGAGTTTTTAACTAATTTGAGATTAAAATGTCAAATATATGGCCAGGACATGTAGGGGCACTATAGGAAAACTTATTTAGGCAGTGTATAGTAAAAAAGTTGATTTGGTGTTTAGTACTCTTTATAGTAATTTGTATGAATAAAAATGTGTCATTACATTTGAAATCTCATTTAAATTCAATTGAGAGGGATTTGAAATAGAATGTTAAAACTCGATTAATCGTGAGGTTATCACCATTACTTTGAGCGATTAATCAACTAAAAATAATCGTTTTTTTTTTGTGACTGCCCTAATTATAATTTATATATATATATATGATATATATATGATATTCTATATCATTTATTTTTTGTTTTCATGTTTGCATCACTAGAGGGAGCCCAGGTACCCAGTGATTTACGCTTACCACACTTGAGAATCCCTGAACTGACGTCAATTACAGGACAGTCAGGACTGGACCAAATACAGTACAGACCAAAAGTTTGATGCTTTGTCATTCAATGAGTTGTAGATTCACTCTCCAGCCTGTGTAAGGGCTAGTTGACCAGGCCCTCCACAGTCACCGACTGTGGAGGCCAATCCAGTGGTTTTGTGATGAGTTGGACCACAGAGTGAAAGGTGACGGCCACCAAATGCTAAGCATCTCAGGGATCTCCTTCCAAGACTGTTGGAATACCTTTTCAATCATACCTCTTGAAGCACAACAGAGAATGCAAGAGTGTGCGACGCAGTAATCAGAAGCAAAAGGTGCTACTTTGAAGAACTTAGAATATAAGGACCTCTTTTCGTTGTTTAATCCTTTATTACTTATGTACATCATAAGTCCCATGAGTTAATCATAGTGTTGATGCCTATCTAGTGTGATATCGACAATTTTCATAGTGTAAATAATGAAAATATGAAATTAAAAAAATCTTTGAATGAGAAGGGTGTCCAAACTTTTTTTTACAGGTGAAAAATGGCGTTCATTATTACTTCTCACCTTAGCGGGAAGAGGAGAAGTCATATGTTATACATTCTAGAACTACCCACCATTATCTCAGCTACTACCATAGTCTTTAAGCATTATAGCTTAAAATACTTGTAAAAAAAATACTTAAAATGCTTGTATTTTTTATATTTTTTTTTTTTTCATTTTTTAGTGGTGTGTATGTATGTCCCATCTCCTGTATGCAATCTCTTCAAAAGTTTAATATGTCCAAACACATTGATTAAAACATTGTACTCTATAATAAAGTAGTTGTGAGACACCGTCCCCTATCCGAACCAACACAACACAGACAACAAGCAGCATCCAAGCTTACATAAATCATTTTCACATTTTATTTGGAGAAGTAAATTATAAGTCTTGTTTTAAATCTCGTTTATATATTCTTTCTAAATATTTTCCCAGGTTACCAGAACGGAGGTGCCATGTTTCCAGTGTTACCAATCACATCAGCAAGAAACGCATCACTTACCTCTACCCTCACAGACAAGGCCATCCCACCAGCATGTGCTCCCAAAAGATGGGCACCCAAGGAGAAACGCCCACCACACCCAGCATCAGCAGCAGCACAGCACTACATGGACTTTATGAACGTCCGGTCCAGGGCATGTCCAGGGTGAAGCACTTGAGGGTCACAGCGCACCTGCGGGACATGTCCCAAAGTGGGAAGCAGGGACTGACAATGATGTGGTTTATGTGTATGGACTAGTACAATGCGTGGGACTGATCAACGAGTTATTGTTGGATTTTTTGTATTCTAAAGTCTAACAAGAATCCCAAATAAACGTGATCCTAATACATAATAAACTAAAACATATCCTAATTTGGAAACACAAAAATTTAATAAATCCATAGTTATTTTTTTTTCTCTCTCTCATAACTCTTTACTTCCATTGATAGTTTTCCACATGTAGTATTTTTGGCTCTTTCACACCTTTAACTTAAGCTTGTTCAGTGAAAAAAGAGAGTACTTCTAAGCCAATCAGCTCTCAGTAAGTAAAAGACAGCATTGTTTTCTTTAGATGAAGCGCATGTTGTGTTCTTATTTGTTCACAATTTGTCTACTTAAACAAGTATGATTGGACCTATTAATAAAGGTTTTGGGGCAAAGAAGAAAAGAGACAAACCAATTAAATATGTTGCTTTATGGTTTGTGTGGCAGAAAGCAGAGGAAGCGCAGCATCCAGCCAGAGGCCGCCTTCCCCCCCAAACCCCAGCCTCCCCCTGTGGCACGCGCTGCAGAGGCTTCTGTACCAGCTACATTGGTCGGACAACGTGAGATCCGCTTCGAAGTCAATGACGTCTTTGAAACTGCTCAAAGAAGGTAAGTAAGGGTTTGTACTACCCTGGATTGAAATCATTTTCATTTAAGTGGTTCTACCCCCGCTCGCGGAGCTTTACGTCACTAACCATTTCCTGTTCAAATCTTCCTTAAATGGCGTAGCTGGGGGACTAAAGGGGGCGTGAACGAGACTGGGCCGTTTGACATGGCTCTGGGCGGGGGCGGCTGAAGTAAGGTCCAACTTCTGTGCCAGTGTTGGCGCCAGATTCAAAATTCATATGTAGGATTAAGGTCGCCAGCTGATGGCGCCTCACAGAACGGTTTTAGGCAGAAGTTGACTCTCTCTCTCTTTCATCCTCTCCTTTGCTTAAGCGTTTGTGTTGGGAGTGAGGCTTCTTGTGGCTGGGTCTTGGGCAGCACAGTGTGGTGGGACTAGAAGTTGATTTTTTTTTCCCGCTTAATGTGTCTTTGCTGTTTTATGTGTTGTTTTTTACTTTTTGCCTTTGGTTTGCTTTCTGTGTGTTTGGCTTTTTTCTTCTGGTCTTTGTTGTTTTTCTGTTTATTGTTTATGTTGTTATCCTTTCTCTTCTGATCGTTGTGTTGTTGAGCGAGATAAGGGTCAGCACTTCTGCCTAAAACCGTCTGTGGAGGCGCCATCTGAGGCGGACCTGTATTTACTACATTTTGAATTTTGAATCTGGCGCCCCCCAACACTGGCCAGAAGTGGGACCAGACGTCAGCCGCCCCGCCAAGAGCACAATGTTAAACGGCCCAGTCTCGTTCACGCCCCTTTAGTCCTCCAGGCTATCGGCCCTTTAGAGGAAGATTTTGAAACAGGAAATGTGGAGTGATGTAAGCTCGAGGACGCGAGATTGTGGAAGAACCACTTTAATGAAAAATGATTTCAATCCATGGTAGTCAAACCTTAGTACTTCTTTGAGCCAGTTCCAAAGTACGTCATTGACTCTCGAAGCTCAGATATCATCGGTGTCCTGACCAATGTATGGTACAGAGCTCTGCCAGCGCGGGTGCCACAGGGGCGAGGCTGGGGTTTGCGGGGCTGGAGGAGGCCTCTGATGATGCTGCGCTTCCTCCTGGCTTTCTGCCACACAAAACTAAAGGCAAATATTTATTTGGTGTTGTCTCTATTTCTTTCTTTTGCCCCCAAAACCTTTATTAATAGGTTCCAATCATGTCTTGTATAAGTAACATTTTTCGTGAACAATCAGGAAACAAAATGACTTTCTTCATTATAGAAAACAATGCTGTCTTTTACATACGAGGAGCTGATTGCTTAGAGGAGTCTCTTTTTTTTCACTGAAAAGCTTAAGTTAAAGGTGTGATGAGGCCAAATACTTACATGTGATAAACTATCAATGGAATTAAAGAGTTTTGAGAGAGAGAAACAATACTATGGATTTATTAAATTTGTTGTGGTTTCAAAGTTTGGATCTTTTAGTTTTTTATTTTATTAGGATCACTTTTTTTTTTGGGATTCTTGTTAGACTTTGAATACAAAAAAATCCACAGTAATCTTGAGTTCATCAATCATTGGATTTCTTAGACCATCGACATAACCACATCATGTGTCAGTCTTGCTTCACTTCTGGGACATGTCGGCTGGTGCTCTCGTGGAATCAGTGCTCACGCCCTGACATGCCCTGGTCGGGACGGATCATAAAAGTCCATGTTTCTGATGCTTGTGCTGATGCTGGGTGTGGTTGGGCGGTTCTCCTTTGGGTGCCCAGCTTTGGGAGCACAGGCTGGGCGGCATGGCCTGGTTTGTGAGGGTTTTAGAGTAGTGGGACTTTCTGGCTTGGTGTGAGTGGCTCTGGGGAAACTTTGGCACCTCCGTTTGGTAACCTGAGGGAAATTATTTAGAAAGCACATATCAAGAGTTTTTAAAAAAAAGAATTATCATTTACTTCTCAATTAAATGTGACAATGATTTGTTGTTGGATTGCTGCTTGTTGTCTGTGTTGTGTTGTTCGGAATAGGGACGGTGTCTCACAACACTTTTTATAGAATTACAATGTTTAATCAATGTGTTGGTACAAATTAAACTTGAAAGAGGGATTGCAATACAGAGATGTTACCATTACATACACACACTAAAAAATGAAAAAAAAAATAGAAAAATACAAAATTTTAAGTTTGTTTTACACGTATGTTTTAAGCTCTATGCTTAAAGACTTTGTAGTAGCTGTGATAATGGTGGTATAGTTCTCGAAGTGTATAAATATTACGTCTCTTACCAGTGACGATGTGAGAAGTACTAATGAAAGCCCATTTGACAACGTGTATAAAAAAGTTTTGACACATCTTTCTCATTCAAAGCTTTGTTGTTATTTTCATATTTTTCATTATTTTTCACTATATGAAAATTGTAGTATGCCCACTGAGGCATCAACACTGATGAATTACTCATGTGGAATTATGTATGTACTTATAGTAAAAAAGTATGAAACAATGAAAATATGTGCTTATATTCTAAGTTCTTCAAAGTAGCACCTTTTGCTCTGTACTGGCTGCGCACACTCATTGGCATTCTCTTGATGAGCTTCAAGAGGTAGTGTTTGAAAAGGTATTCAACAGTCTTGAAGGCGAATCCCTGAGATGCTTAGCATTTGTTGGCCTTTCACCTGCACTTGTGTCCAATCTCACAAAACCATCTGGATGGCCTCCACAGTTGGTGAATGTGGAGGCCTGGTCAACTTGCCCTTAACACAGGCTGAGTAGTGAATCTACAACTCATTGAATGTCAAAGCATCCAACCTTTGGTCTGTACTGTTTATGTCAGTCTGTTGTCTGTATTGACGTAGTTTCAGTGTTTACTCAAAGTGTGGTAACGCGTAAATCTCTGGTTCGCGGGGCTCCATCTGGAGTGGTATGCCAAAATGATATAAAAATAAAGTTTATATATTTCCATATTTTATATTATATATATATATATATATCATATTATATATATTGGCTGTCAACGTATTATTTTTTTGTAGTTGATTATCGCATAGTAAAGTGAAGTTTAACTCCACGATTAATCGCATTTTTAAATTCTATTCAAATCCACTCAATTGTAAGTTAAATGAGGATTTTCACATTGTAAGACTATTTTTATTCATACCAAAAATTATACTTAACGAGTAACTAAACACCAATCAACTTTTTTTACTCTATACACTGCCTAAATATGTCTTCCTATAGTGCTCCCTATCATTGTCTGGCATATATATGACATTTAAAACAAATAAGTTAAAATCTCACCTTTTGAGCGAAACCGTCTGTGTGGCGCCTCACTATTGGTTTTCCGTGTCCAATACATGCTTGAATTTTGTTCCTGGACTCTCCATGGCTCTTGAGTTCCCTGTTTTCTGTGCGCAGGTCTTCCCGAGCCTCTGCTAATAAGTCTGTTTGACATGCTCACAACCTTTCTTCTTTTGGGTACAACCAACAAGAGTTGACACGTCAATGGCAGTTAATGCGTTAATTTATTTTTTTAGCGTTAATGAAAACGGTTATTAACCGTGATAACGCGATTGATTTGGACAGCCTAATATTTATACATATATTATACTTATTATATATATATATATATTATTTTTTTTACTTTATTTAACAGGAAAGTCCCATTGAGCATACGGACCTCTTTTTCATGGGAGTCTAAATAAATGTCCACATATCATTACAGATTTACTGACTGTTGTCAAAGCAAGTGCATCATGTTGTGTAGCCTTGCTGTCTGTTACAGCTAAATCGGTGGTTGCAGGAATGTCTCCAGTTCATCTCCTGGTTTTGGGAGACCGGAATTTGGTTCAGTTGGGAGGGGAAACAACTTGAACTCTCATTTGTTTTCTTTAGGTCGTGAAATCAACTTAGTTGTAGAAGAACTCCCAAGCGGATGGCGTTACCGATCTCTTATACTTACTGTATGAGATAGGTCAAGGGCTGGGAGGGAGGTATCTGCTTGGTTGATGTGCTTAGCGAGGGAGGGTCACTGAGTACCAGGGGGTTTGTCCAAGAAAGCTAGTGGCTGCTGAGTTTTAATAGAGTCTGACCGCCAGAAAAATCGTTGGATCACTGGTAACGGGTTTAGGGCAACGTCTTTATGCTGGGGAACCTGGGTGTACCAAAGCCCAAAATGCGTCGCCGTTTGGCGTTGTCCTGAGCTCCCACTCCTTTCGGCCTGGTGATTCAAGTGATGGCTTTATGTCCTAGTATAACATCAACCATTACAAGCAAAAGATTACGGTTACGGTCTGAAAAAACATCTGATCAAAACTATTGTTCTGATGCCGAAGCGTTGGAAGAGGAACACAGTTGTGTCATGTCAACTTTTTGGAACTATTCAAGCCGTTTCAAGTTCAGTTACATCGTCAGTATGCGCAATCATTGCGGTAGGCGTTCTTACCTTCTTCTCATGCCTATCATTTAGCAGGGGCGTGTCAGCATGCAGGTATAACATGGCCAGAGGAAGGATCCTCCACCCACCGTGCTAAGCCCCCGGACAGCCGGTGGAGAGCCTATGTCCCTGGGCCGAATAGCACTGCTAAGGTGCCCTGTAAGGTGGCATGGATGCCATGTCTTGTCGGCTCCTTTCAGGGAGGGGACCGCAGCGGATACAAAGAGCTAAATCTCAGTTCAGGGACGAAACTGTAAGCAGCCAAGTCCTGGCACAGAGGTATTAAACACTCTTCTTGTGGCTGCACCCCCGCAAAGCTCCTGGCCCGGACCCAAGTCGTCTCCAGCCACTCTGGACACTGCCGCGAGTGAACTAACTCCTGTGTTCACTGACATTTTCAACTCCTTCGGCAGTCCTGCCAAGTCCCGGCCTGCTTCAAAATCCTCCATCATTGCCCCCGTCCCGACGAAGCCAGGATCACAGGACTCAATGACTACAGACCTGTAGCACTACGTCTGTCGTCATGAAGTCATTTGAACGATGGTCCTCTCCATCTCATGTCCTCCCCTCCCCCTCCTGACCCCTGCAGTTCTCGACTACAGAGCCAACAGATCTGTAGACAACGCCATCAACTGGCCCTCAACACATCTCTACTGCACTTGGACCTCCCCTGGGGACCTACGCCAGGGTCTAGTTCGTGGGACTTAGCTCTGCCTTCAACCACGATACTGCCATCCCTGCTCAGGACAAGCTCTCCCAGCTCAACGTTGGCCCGTTTCACCTGCAGGTGGATCCCTGTACTACCTGACAGACAGGAAGCAGCGAGTGCAGTCTGGGAAGAATGTCTCGGACTCTCGGATTCTATATACAGGAGCCCACAGGGCTGGTTCTTTTCTCCCCTGCTCTTTCCCTGTACACCAACCTACTGCACCTCCAGCCACGACTCTGTGAAGCTGCTCAAGTTCGCGGATGACACCTCCCTCATTGGAATCATCTCCAAGAACGATGAGTCCGCCTTACAGGAGGGAGGTGGGACC